GACGCGCGATCGCTTGAACGAGTATTTGAAAGAGGATGCAGTGACGGCGAATGGGAAGCTCACGAATGGGGTTAATGGCCACGCATAATAGGACGTTTTGACGATCAGAAGTAGATAGCAGGATCTGAAGATGGAGAAGCCCCTCAATGGGGGTAGACATCGGATCTTTTGTACATGAATACCATACGAAATTTCACGTATTCGGGCTGTTGGTTGAGTATATCCACATTTTCTCGCCTTGGCATCTATCAAGGTCCTCACTACTTTGACCGCACCCATTTTCAGAATTCTTTCATTTTCAAATAATGGATGTCCACATCCTTCTCACTAAACAACTATCAAGCGACGATTGAGTTTCCCCCCCGTCGGTTCAGATCCGAAATCGAAGCGTTCGAGGCGTTTCTCTGCACGCCATTGTCGGTTCTGGCGAATCGCATCCAGCCCCACCCCTGACTAGCCTTGACGCCACTCGGTGAGCGTTGCCTGCTTCAATGAGGTTGTCTCACGCTGCCTCATGGGCTGCCTTCAGTCTCGCCTATGGCGTTCTTTCTGTAGCCGCCGAGGCAGACAGCGTCCGGAATTACGCGGACAATGGAGTTGTTCTGGACAATGAGTTGAACGCGCAAGAAGTCTTGGCGGCGGTAAGGGCCAGCCCCCCCGGTCACGGTGTCGTCTGCCACCAGGCTCAAGCACGTACTAACCGAACAATGCAGATGCCAGAAGAATCCTTTGTCGAGATTCACGAGGTGACGGTCACTTTAGAGGACATCCCAGACAAACCGAGTCCGCGGCACGAGCAGGAGAAGAAGAATCTCCTGAAGCGACTGAGCAAGTCCCACGGTAAATGGGACACCAATCACCCCCGCCATCGGCTCCTCGAGGCCTTATTTGGATTCAGTCGATACAAGGCCCGCCAGATGTCTGAGCTTGACCGGTGGAAGGGGCTGTACAAGCACGTATCCAAGGCACAGAAGGTGGTTAGTAACAATCATGCCGCCCCCTGAGACATCCTTTCCCCTCAAGCCAACAAAAAGCACGCTTACCGTTCGCACCGTAGGTTCTCGAAAAAGCCGTTGGATATTCAAAGAAATTCGAGACGGCAGAAAATCTTCTCGATGTGAATCAGGCGTTATGCGATGAGATTGTCGAATCGGCGCTCGAGTTTTACGGTATCAGTCGCAAGGAGCTGGATGATCATGCCAAGGCCAAGGACAACGCTGGCCAGCCTGCTGACAGAGTAAGCACATCCCAAGCCCTGAAACATTTTGTTAGGGATTGGTCGACTGCCGGCCAAGGCGAGCGAGATGATGCCTTCCCCTGTATTCTCGGTACCCTGGACATGCTTTTTCCAGATCGCTCCGAGCAAGGAGACATTAAGGTCCTGCTTCCGGGAGCCGGCGCTGGCCGTCTGGGTCATGAAATCTCCGCTCTCGGAGGCTTCGAGGTCACGAGCAACGAATGGTCGATGTTTATGAATCTCGCTTATCGCTTCCTTGAGGCTCACCCTCGCCCGGCTTCTCAAAGATTCCATCCTTTTGTCGAGGGCTGGTCGCATCACGCGACTACTGCGGACATGTTTCGCGAGGTGTCCTTTCCTGATAGGCGGGTAAACGCCAGCGCCGTGCTACTTGTTGAAGGTGATTTCTCTTCGGCGTTCAGGTCGGACGCTGGGCGGTATGACGCTGTAGTGACGCACTTCTTCATTGATACGGCTCGGAATGTCATGAGCTACCTCGATACGATCCATTCCGTCTTGAAGCCCGGAGGTTATTGGGTCAACTTCGGGCCTCTTATGTGGGGAACCGGTCCTTTCGTTCAACTCTCGCTCGACGAAGTCGTTGCAGTGGCAAAGAGCATGGGGTTTGAATTCTTGGAAATGAAGCATGAGTGCGGAGAGGTTACTCTTGCGGGAGAGGAGGTGCGTGGCCGGGAGGCGGTGTATGGGTTCAATGAGAAAGCCTTGACGAAAAATGCTTACACTGCACAAGGTTGGGTGGCTAGGAGAAAGTAGAAGCCGTGCATCTGGGTTGGGGTACTTTGTTACGGCAAGAAGGTACCTTGCATAAGATGGAGATAACCACACCTAGGTAGCTTCAAGATGCCAAACGCTACTTTACTGGCTGTGCAGTGACGCCTAAATGCCGAAGATACGGGAGATGACTGTACAAGTCCGGCGGGGAATAGTTGTGCCCTCAGTAACCCTATAGGTGCCGGGATCAATTTGAAGACTTTAGAGGGTGCGAGAGCCCGACTACCTTACATACTAGTGATACGTTAAGCCCAGTGGCCCATACAATCTATGCCGCGATTCTCTTTGCCTAACACTCTTCAAAGCCCATTGACTCTACCCCTACCAGAACGCCGCCATGTTTTACAAGTATTGAGGGTTACGCTCAACTCGAACGTAGATCTTTGTCACCGGACAGTAGGCACATCGTGGGGCCCCGCAACCTTCACAGGATTCCGTTCGAAGAGGCATACCAGATTCACCACACGCACACTGCCACAACCGTAAACGTAAGATACTTCAACGATTCCATGGACGAATGACGGTGACCACTCACGCATTGCCATTTGTATACTCTGTGCTTTCTTGAGACCCATTCGGTGGGCCGGTGGTTCGCTGTTGGCAGCTCGGCTGGAAACATCAGCACACCACCAAGAAGATGGTGGCTGCACCATTCCGACGCAACCGTCATACTCGATTAAGTAGTCGAAGATCTGAAGTGGTGGTAGACTGTAGAGCTGTTCGCTAAGAGATGCACTGCGGGCGAACCATATGTCAGCATTTCGTGCGTCTAACACAGTGGAAAGCTATCGGCGGTGAGCATCATACGTATATCCGTCAGCTCCTCGACCGGAGATTGGAATTAGATACAGACGAGGAAGCTCAGGGGAGAAAAGGGGGCGGAACATGGGACGTGGAAGAGAATAAAAGATGTGTGAAGAAATCGGGGGGAGGAAGCAAAGGGAGCCCGGAATCGGCCGGCCGCAACAGGGCACTCTAAACTTGGCTTTGATACGCATCGAAAATGATCCGTCATTAGGCCACGAGAGACCATCGTGATTGTCAGGGGGGTATGTGTCTCCCTGCGCCTAGCGGATCAATGCGTCTTTGGCATGATACGACCCGACGCAGTAAAAGGGAAAATGCAGAGGAGGATAGAGCCAAAAAGGGAACGGCGCATGATGCTTAAATGCAGAGTAGTAAACCAGACGAGAGGTTATGTTCATAATTCAATCTCTAGAGACAGTTGTAGGTATGAAGTGATTCATCCTCGCTATTAGGTCATCAAACAGGATCCCAAGGAAACGCTCCAGGGGGAAGCCACTCCAAGCGGCCACGGCAGTGTAGGATCGTGCTGTGTTGTTTCGTCTGATGCATCTTCGCAAGTGTTTCCGCGGACTCTACAGTCCAATCATGTAACTTTTTCAAAGGGTAATCGTAGTGCTTAATAGATGTAGAAGCTGCCGTTGACAACGATTATCACGATGCTCAATGAAGGTGACGTTGATCAACCTGTGGAGGGGCGAGGAACAAACACATGGATTACTGGCGCTAGTGTATGTCATAGCTCCACCGATGTACGTACCCTTGCAGACAGATTGACAGCCCCTCCAAGGGGGGGGGGGCGCACTACATGTAGATACCTTGAAGTCAGAAGAACGTCTCCCTCACTCCGATGCTGAATGTTTAGCCAGGCTGTTTATAGAGTACACTGTCGTCTCCGATATTTCAAGATTGAAGCATCCATCTCAATCCAAGTACGTATGATATTTACCTGCTGCTTGTTAGTTCTGACTCGCTACCTATCAACGAGAAAGCAGATTGAGGCCACCGCCAATTCACCCATGTTTGCCGTTTCGGCAATAATGTTACGCCCATTCCTATGAAAAGTCCCAATAAGTTAGATTACCGGTACCCCTGAGGCGATTTTGATCACTGTGCCCGTCGAAACCGCTCCACTCTATACATCGCACTGAAGACTGGAAGGATAAGAAGCCATGTTTGCCTTTAAACTGGATGCAATGTGCAATTTGTGTTCCTTAACTTAACTCCGCCAGCAAGTGACGCTTTCCTATTCGCAGGAGGTTCACGGAAACGAAGAATCAGTATAAAAGGATGTTCATAATCTAGGCTCGAAGCGATAGCATAGACGAGGCATGTTCGGAATCCCTATTCACATTACCTTAGTACCTAATCTAGTTCACGCATGCTTTAAGTGAAAGAACAATATGACTATTGAAATTCCTCACAGTATGCAGAAACACGTTTCTGCCTAACTAAGCAAAGTCATGGGCGACTATCTCAGATATATTGAGCGTGTACCCATCACACAGGCTGTCTATAATCGACGTATCTAAGACTAAGTCATGTGTCGTGTGGCGTGTCAATTCGTTGCCCCAGGCAACTGATTCACGTGTTTCCTCCTTGAAGTACAAGACAGCATTGCTATCATTCTACATTAATTTTCGGTGCGAATACCGGTTGCGGTGTCTCCGTGGACACAAGTCGATGTTCGTTTCATTTTCTCACTGTACCTGGCGAAGCGGAGATTACATCTGTCTCTCTTTTGTGCACACGGTCAGCTTATCCTGTACTGCGGTATCCGGAATGACCGACAGTCATATCGTCAGGTACTTCTTTGTGTGAGGTTATATTCCTGGCCAGTCACCACTGCGTACATCTGACCTTGGCACAAGTATTCCCATGCCACATTGTAGCGCATCAAAACGCTCATTCAGCTCTTCGTTGGAACGCTGTGACCCTGTACCCCAACACATTGCGTCCTTGCGGCACCTAGTGTGCAGTCAAGAAGAAAGTAAACAGATAAAATTCAGCAGGAAATTGCGGCATTGCCAAACGGTACGTTTCCTTTTGCCTGAACATCTAGGTTTGACTGAGCAAACATCCTCTGTGTTCAAACGCTTCTCATGAGTGATTTGAGATGTATTACTCACAAAATACCTTTGGAATATCAATTAACTATTTAGGAAAGTCACACAAATTGCCGGCTTGCTGCAGGGTGCTGAAGTACCATTCCAGAAAAAGCATTGCTCGCACTACCACCGCCCTGGTTCCTCAGCTCGGCTGCCATGATTTCAGCCACTTCCCTTTCGCCTAATGCCCCTCTAGCCCTCACTGTAACACAGTGCTGTGAGTACCAAGTCATAATGGCCTTCATGCCTAAAGTGATAGCCCCCATTCCAATTGCAAGAACAGTGAAGCATAATAAGCTTGGCTGAAACACAATGCCCGACTGCATGATGCTACCGGCGAGCGCCAATGGAGAAACAAACTGGAGCTAAGCAATGGGGAGATATTAGTGAATATGTCGATTGAAGAATCTCTGTTGATTGCGAGGGCGTAATGGGAAACAAGGCTCTGCTCACAATCGAGATATTCCAGTGTTGGAGAACAATGGCCCTGCTTCCATCAACGGCCACGTACAGAGTTAACTGGAGAGATGACTAGTTAGATGGATACCGCAAAGACATGATTCTATGACGCTATTAAAATACTCACGTTGCTTTTGAACCGTTCGATGCGAAGCTCCAGCTGCTTAAGGTCGACCAGTATCTTTCTTAAGTCGTCGAACATGCCACCAATATCATAGAGCATGTGGTCGACTGGGTTGTCGTCTGATGGTGGAAACGAGAACTGCAGGGATACTGCGTCTCCGAGCGAGAAAGCTTCCCAAGAAGTTATTGTCTTCGATAAGGCCCCAATGAGTTTGAAAAGAATATCGCTGGATCCCCTCGCCCATCTTTCGCTTTGCTCCACCGCATCCGCCTGATCATCAGCATTGCCCAATGTAGCTTTTGGCCGTTCTTGGGGGATATGCGGATCTCCGAGCTAGGAGGAAGACAATGGGTCAGTACAGGAATCCGAGTTCAGCAATCATCAGTACTTTGCCAGACCAGCTACACTTACGTATTCCTCAACACGGTGTCTCATGTTGTGTAACACGCTTCTCCATTCGTCTCTGCACTTTTTGCTTCGGATCCTGAGCACCATAAGGAAATACTCCCTCGGATCGGTGATCATGACGCGACCGATTGTAACATCTGATGCCGCTATTGCGTCCCATTGCGCACCTTCAGAGTCCATGTAGTGTATGAGCAGTTCGTCATTATTGGGATCTTCTAGGTCCGGATAGAAATACGTGTCTGTGAGGGAGCATCCAGTCCAGACGGTATGGTTCCATCCTGACACGACGAGTGAGGTCTGACCCTCGCACAAAAACTCCAATTGTCCATTGAGCTCCACATCCGGGAACCGCGAAAGAAAAGTGACGTTGATGGTCTCTCTCACGGACCTGCCGCCAGGCAAATGCCGTTCATCTAACCTTTCCGATGGAAATATTTTCCAAGTGAAGTAGTGTATGTGAAATTGGAGGATGAAAGCTCTCCAGCTGCGCTATCAGTGAAGGATGTGTCAGCCAAACTGGGATGGATTATGCAAGAGATATGAAATGGTCAGAATACAGCAAACGTCATTCTGATATGACTATCACCCTCAAAATGTCTCATAATCAGTTCACGCAGATCAGAGGCTTGTTGCTCTGATGCATTGAGAATCATGGCGCCTAAGCTTAACCCAGTGGGGTTTGGGATTTGTCTAAAAAGAAAAGAAAAAGGTCAATCACACCACCTGTGTTTGGGGTAGGTATTCATTCTGGTTGCCAACATCAATCTTATTTCAGCGTCATGGTGTTCATCTAAATTGAAGCGCTGCAAAACGTCATTAGCACCAAGATGTTTCATTGTGATTTGAAGACACAACTCTTCAAGACGGCATGAACTTACTTTCAACTTCAAGATCTCTTGGAAGTCTCTGGCAGATTTGACGCCGTTGTAGTCACGTGGGCCTTTGGTGGTGCTCCGGTCATGTAACCAGGCGACAGCACTATCGGGAGCTCGGCCGCCTCTTATTGCTATGAGAATGTTGTCTGGACAAAGAACTCTGAAGAACGGAGTCTCAAAACCATTGAGCGGCGAATGATCTGGAGTGTTGAGAAAGATATCCAGAGGCGTGCCGACAGCGTCATACTCATCAATCAGGGTATCGATGTACGAGAAATCCTCCCACTCATAACTGCGAAAAGGAAGGTCCCACTTGAATGCTCGTGGTCGAAACACTTGCGACGTTAGAGGCTGCATATCATTTTGCGCATGCCAAGCCGCAGAGCATAGCACCCGTCGCAGACCAGTAGATAGGGACTAACAACGATGGGTAAACATCTCTTGATTCATATTCGAGTGATAATTTAGAGTACAGAAGAAAGGGAGAGTATTAGTGCGATATTATATCTCCATTTGGGGCAAGTAAGATGAAATGGAAGGAGTTGGGGAAACGGAGGGAATATGTTGGGACTGAGGGTATGTTAATGCCTGAAGCCCGGTTCGAAGATTGCTTGAATATCCAATCACGAATCACACGACTCAAACTCGCTGCATGGTTCGGGGTTCCACGCTGATGGGCAGTAATTATCTCGTTGCCTTAGATATAACATTAGGCTCGAGCAGTGCTTCTGCAACGTCCACCGGCTGTCTATTAGTGAATAAGACTGATCTAGTCAGCCCTAATCTTTCTATGTTGAACCTAGCTGCCGAAAAGGGCACTCATTGCCGATGAGGACTGACGATAGGTTTTCCTTTGGTGACACAGCGAACAACAAGAAGTTTGGAAGTGGTGTTGGATATTAGCTGCTGATTTGACGAAAATGGAGCAGATAGCTGTAGAACCACTTAGATCAAGATGAGCCACAATCGCAGGCGTGATGCCAGGATCCAATCGAAACGCAAAGATCAGATAAGGCAGCAAATCAAAAACCCAGACCATGTAATCGGCCTTAAGCTTATGCTGTTGTGCAGCTTTAGGCACTTACTATTTCTTCAACGACGGTGATTGGTCTTCTTTCTCTGTCTCCCATTTGATACTTTTTTCCAGTCGCTTCTAAATCTTCTCATCAGGAAATGCGCATGCGGCAAGGTGCTACCTGGCTTGTATCTTCATATATTATCGAACAGAACCTAGCCTACCAGCTGGGGCTCGATCTCAAGCGACACTGCAGGGAAAATACTCAAATATAATTCCAGCATATTTCAGTTAGCACGTTGTAGGATGTCGGAAAGTTAGCTGGGTGCTCTTGTGACTTGACATTGATTGAGGAAATTGATGGTACATGTACCGTAGCTGATTGTGTTGTCGGAGCGAGCATTTCGCACTACGCGAATACATAGCAATAACTCTACTGTCGAGGTATTGGCTAATCCGAGCCACTGGCAGCCTGCCAATGGCAGGTACGACATACTTACAAAAGTAAGTCGAAAAGAAAGCACTATATCAGGTGACAGAAACAAGCGCGCGTCAGGCAAACCCCACTCTATTGTCTAACTGGTACCAATCACCTCGAACGGTGTCTCGAAACTGGGCAGTAGGCACAGCGTGGCGTGCCACAACATGCGCAACATTCGACCTGGATGGCCTGCCCCCCCTGGCCACACCGGCACTATCAGAATATTAGTTTACGGCAACAATACTAAGCGCCCGCATTCAGCGCCTAACACTGCACCGAGTCCAGCCTCCAGAGCCATACTGTGATACTCAAGTTTTCACACAGCTCTTTGTGGTTCATGCAGCACAGAGTGCCGCTGACTTCCACCAAGCCAAGACGCATTGCCCCGCACCCAGAGTCATCAGAGCAACGCAAATACCTTCAGAAGGAACATCCTTTCGACCTTGTAAAAGCCATACATGGCCAGTACTGGTGATCTTCAGATTCTTTTCAATGTACATGCGTATTTCTTAGAATGGATGTTGATGCGTGTTGTTTGTGGTCGAGTTCTACTATCAGCAATGCGGGAGATGTATCCACTTATTCCGGCTCTCGAATCCATATTTCCGGTCGCCCGGATCCCCGGATTTTTGCCGCTAGGCTGCTCTGCCGCCAACATGGTAGTTGTGACTGTGGAGATATGGCTATCGGTTGGATGAGCAAAATACCCTTGTTAGCTAAGAGCCGACATGAGTGGTCATATCTCCCGCATAGCCAAGAAAGTAACTCTCGTCAAGTAGAAGTCTCTTCGGTCAATCCAATATGCGAGTACAAGAGTCGTAACCACGCAGAATGATGGCGAGAAGGTATTGACTGCGTGAAAACTTGAGTATCCGTCCATGAAGTACGTGAAGGCCGAATACGGCTAGCGGGTGACAGCTCTTAGCACATAAGAAATTGTTCGAAAACTCACGCACGTCCAGATTGGCACAATGGTTCGCTTCGGCCCACGGGCCTGGAATTCCCCAGGAAATGAGACTGACTGCTCGGCTGATCGGGCTTTAAACTGTAAGCGTCTTTCGATTGGAGGCTGTCAGGGTCATGTACAGAACAAACGCATCGTCAGATCGAAGATGTGTTACACAAAGGTCTAGCAAATGGGTTAGCTTGGATCTCATCTCTATCGTGTCCCCACGCCATGGTTCGATTGCTTACTTTCTGGGCAATATAATCCATTACTTGAACGGCAATTTGTCTTGAATCATATCATTTGGCCTCTACCTTCTGTCTGCCTTTTATAGTGTGATGCGTTGTTCTCATTAAGGTAAGTTTCGATAGGCCTTTGACGGAATCCTTCCGACTGGACCGGAGACGGTGTCGGCGCCTCCGCCTGCATCAGCCTTCTCTTCAATACGCCAACTTGAACGCTTTCATCCGATCCCAGTCCCTCTCAGCTGTCCCTCAGAATCTGCGACTCTCGGTGCGACGATGTACGAATGGGAACTTGCGGAAGCGGCGAGACCCTATTGGGGCTATGCGCGTGGTCGCCGAATTTTGGTTGGGCGGCAAATCTGGTCGGGTCATGTCCGGTTACATTTGCGTCACATATCGGATCGTTACTGGCCGCATCTGTGATACTGGCGTCTAGAAGCGGTTTGTTATTATTACAGTGATATGTGCTTTCCACAGACACAGGCGACTAAACTGTATATGTGGGTAAGAAGAGAATTGCACGTTAACGTAGAAAATTGTACAAATTCCTCATCCGGTGTTTGTTAGCGGAGTTTATCTTGTCTCTGTGGAATGCTCTGAAATCAGGCGAGTAGAATGGTGTGCAGTCTCCAAACATTCCCTAGAAACCAACATTACAGCCAGCATGGACATTCCGCATTCGTCTCTGTGGGGTGTTATTAGCAAAGTGCATAAAACATCTTCTAATTAAAGGAGACTATTGAATGTAAATTACGTGCTGGCCTCAACATGCAATGCTGAATTCTTGGCACACGACACACGGCGGCTAGCGTCACTAGGTCATGGCGCTTGCAGTACATCCTTGACTGCATGTGGACCATATGTCCATTGCCAGGTTGATAGCACAGGACGGGCAAGCTCGTCAGTCCTAGGGTCGTTCATATCTTAGGGTGAACATGCCTCAATTGAAAGGTACATATACTATTATCCTTGCATGGCTCCTATCCGTCTTTCTCAGTGCCTCTAATATACTTCTTGAGCGCTACCAATCATGAAGTAACTATAGCACAGGTGGAGCGAGAGATCAGAATGCTTCTGATGGCGGTTTTTCTGAGGCCTATGGACATGGATTGACGTCTACCTGGGGAAAACAGAAGAGTATTCCTGGGGGCGGGAAGCATGTATCAAGAATTGTGATATTCATGGCCCAGTCCCTAGTAATAAATACCGGTGTAGAACCTACTGTGTCTCATTCTAAGTCCTATTATCACCTTCTCATGATAGCATTTACCCGTGCCTGGTCTTCAGCCCACGCGTTCTGATGTAACTCCGTTTTGTCTCGAGACGAAACGATTCTTATTTCCTATAAACTAAGGAGTCTTTAATCAAAGAGACTGGAGGTATAATCGATCACCACTGTGTCCAATACTTCAGCTTGGAATTCTTGTAATGAGTCCTATTGTCTTCAAATTACCATACATCATGGATCAATACCTTATATGCTCTAGTACAATCTACGACTTTACATGTGGAAAGTATGAGGAAACTTTTGGTCCTCATGACTGACTTGGAGCATTCTAATCTCTAACCATATTCCTTTTTGTGTGTACATACGACTAGTAAAGCATTTTGGTAATTGAGATTGGCTTCTGTGCTTGTTAGGTACCAGACATTGAGCGTGCAGCTGCAGGTGTTTGCTATTAATCTCAGCTCATATAAAGATTCCACATTTCCTTGAACTTTTGCATCATGTTTCTGTGATAATTTTAGTGTCGCAAGATCGGTGTCGCATTCTGATTTACAAGGCCCAATGACCGCAGAAGTACGAAAGTGGATTGGAGTCTACCGAGGCTTGCAAATGTCTCATATCTCAGTATAGATAGACTGCTGCCTGCTAGATGTACGTGCCAAAATAGAAATATCATGACTGTGCAGCAGCTTGGGAGAGTGCCTCAAAACAATCTTTTTGGGGTATTGGATTCCCCATTCGTATCACGAGCTATGGGCTGTGCGGTGTTGCAAATTTGGAGACGAGGTATGGTGAGCCAATGGAGACCTTCCTAATGGCTACAATAGTTCCATAGCCTTGATGTTATCTCTCTACGAAACCACCTGTATAATAATAAATAATAAATGCCTAGCACGTACGCATCTGTGACAAGAGAGATCGGAGTTTAAGGACAGGCATAAGGTTTTGGGAAACAGTAAAGCAGGCAATTTTGCAGTACACGTAACGGGTGTTTCGGCTTCCTGCATCACAAAAAACAGGCACACGACAAGATTGAATCCTCTTTTTCGACTTTTTAATACAGTTTTCCCATCCAGGTACTCGATGTTTCGCGCTTGCGCCTAATTCCTGTACGTTATCGCAAAGAACATGTACATTTCAATTTTGGCGGCCCTGCATTCTTTGAGAGAATTCCAATTCGGACTTCGAGCTCCGGATTTCGGACAAGTAGGGTAACGAAATCGTATCACATGGCCAGTCACTGCCACCCGCAGTCAGGAACACACGAGCTAAGATATAGCTAGTCGTGTATTTGTCCAATTCCGCTCGGTAAGCGGTTCACTCACATGCTGTGCATCCAGTCTGCTATAAATTCCGAGTGATTCTTTCGCGTGCCTTATGAGTCGGGTCTGGCCCCAATTTCTTGCGTTATCATATTTCTACCATAGCAGTAGAGTCTATCCATCCTAGATGAAGTTCGTACAAACCAGCTTGGGTAAGTAGTTGAAAATAATGGCGACTATATCCACGGCAGCATATTCAACTGATTTGATGCCGCTTCAAAGGCGATCAAGACCAGAACTGTCAACATAACGGAACCGTAATCCCCTTTGACGCAACGCCTTATTGCTGCAAGGAGGACATGCACTAATTTGGACCCGATAGATCCAAGATGCCAACTTCAGTTTCCAGCCGCCTTTGCTTGTTCTCTGAGTTGAGAATCGCGTCCGAGCAAGAGAGTATGGTAACTACAGAGGATTGGGATTCAAGTGGAATTCATTACTTTGGGCCAAAAAGCAAGTACAAAGCCTTCTGGACATGTGTGAGTAATCTTCTAGCCATGCATCTACTTTCCTGATGAGACCTGGACTCGATTTCTAAGAAGACACCAGTGCGATTGTGGAATAAGCAAAAACTCCATTTCGCACGAGTACTGTAGTTGCGGGAAGCTGCGCTGCGCATACTGCCCAGTGACCAAAGTAAAGACCTAGCCATGTTGTTCTAACCATGGGCGACGGGGACTCAGTAAAGTATGTTGAAAAGACGGAAAGTGTGGATGCCCTATACCTAATGGATTCAATGAAGAGCAAGGATATAGCTAAACCCCGCATGCACATACATTGCGATTGGACCTTGGTCATCGAATATAAACGAAGTAAGAGGTTTGAATTTCGCGTTGACAGAACGACACGGGAAGGGACCACTATACCACAATTCAGCCGGATTAGACTGTGACATATCCGACACACTGGCTATCTCAATGAAACATTTCTAATTCTACCTGTGCGTTGCCTTCGAGTGCTTTTGTTAAACATCTTGGATACTGTGTAGATATTGTAGATATTGTACCTGATACCCGTGGTGTGCTCCATCTCGCTGAATTATGGCAGTAACACGTATAGCTGTGTCTCGCAACAAATCGTTGCGCCGCTCATAGCAACTGTAATCACGAATATCTGTCTGCGATTCATGGTCAAGAAAGCATTGAATAATAAGCTGCGCGAGTGACTTGACAACAAACTTTCAATGCGATGCCATGCTAGGACTCAGCTTCTTGCAACTGCCTATCTGTACGCGCTGTCAGCCTCTCGCTCTGACCCGGCTCACGGGGCAGTACGGGCACCGAAATGCCTCGTAATACTGGCAGGCTTCAAGTCTGAGAGGCATTCCCGCCTGACCGCATGCACACTGTGACAGGATTAGTCCACGATGAAATTCAGGGAGATTAGGAGCTCACTGACACATTGCCATTTAGACACTAGTGTCCGCTTGTGAACCCGTGTCTGCGGGTGCATAAGTACATGGTGGCCATATTCCGCAACGGCTGGATCATCGGGTGCCGAGTTAGCGTGGTGCATCGCCAAACGAAAGGGAGATATAGTGTACAATTGTAGGGCTCTTGTTGAGGGCTGTGGCCAGGCATATCTGAAAGGATCTCTGCAAGTCGATCATGTGGACTGGGTGAATAGTGTTTCTTCACAGTTTTGCCTCAAGATAAGGAACAATTTTGCCGCGAAAAGCCTTTCTGCCTTACGAACATGAAGATTGACTGTGATTGAGAGAGGTTTAATTTTCCTTTATAATTCGTCCGCATTCCGGGTCGTCGACCTTATGATTGATGAGTTGTAGAAGCCTCCATGGCGTCTAGGTAATTACGCCTCCTCGTCAAGTTTGTGCGACACGATGAAAGTATCTATGTAGTACCTCATGCTGCGAAAATGTTGAGGTGTTTGAGACTTCAAAGTACGTTGTACGTACTGGTCTGAAAAACGTTACAGCCTCGGGACACCCACAGATCCACGTTCTACTTAGGGATTGGCACCGGATTCCTAAAGTCTGATCCCTGAACTTGGTTGTCGGCCGTCGTGGACAACGAATGAAGAGCTTGATCACCGGTGAAGATCAGGGGGATGCATTATTGATCCCGACTGCTCCGGAACCGAAGTCAGATCATTATTTGGCAAGCCAAACCAACCTTCATTTGCCATTTTGACTAGCTTAGTTTGTAAGATGAGACTCCCCTGATGACCAACAGATATCTGTTTGGATGATGAGCGCTTGCGCTGCAAGACCCCCGCAAGTGGCAGATACAGTTCAACTAGCTCAAGTTTGTTTCAGGAAGCACCTACACATTGTTATGCCAAGTAAATTAATAAAGCATTTTTATGAAGCTCAGCAAGCCTTGGTGGTGAGATGATTTTCTGCAGTCTTGTGGCATCTAATTCAGACAATTGAAAGCGACAGTAGTACGTATAGTAGACGCAAATGTACTGTGCACCCGCGGCTCGTTTTTTCGGTTCTTTCCCCCTTGAACTCGCCTGAAGGGTTCTAAGTCACTGCACTTTCAACCGATCTGGAAATCTTCAATTGTTCAAGCCTTCAATATCTTATGTTTCAGACTTTATGATATGACGGCCAACTATCTATCTGTCGGATTGGAAGTCCAAGTCGACCTCGGCGTACGGCCGGCCGCGCAGGGGCCAATTACGGCCCCTACTTCCGATTATCGCGGCCTGCCCAACCTACGGTTGGAACCTCCTTTTTACACCTACGCAGAAATTCATATAGTTCAATTGATCTCTTCGTCAACCCACAGTTCGAACCAATTACCCTGTAATAGGGATACCAACACTATCAAACCTTGACCTTGCCCTACGAAGCGATGATTCCGTGTCATTACATTGGCCTATCGGTTGTGTCTTGTAGGCCATGAAACTGCCTAGTACTGATCGGCATTGATGGCTGGTGGTTTTGGTATTGATGCTTAACTTGAATTGCCAGAGTCGCTCAGGAAGCTGCTTCAGTTTGGGTACAGAGCTCCGAGCTCTGCTTGGTGATATCCTATATGAAATCCAATGTTGTCATTACGGTGCATGCATGAGCAAACAAGTCATGCGATTGAAGTACTAGAAAGCATCCGCTTCCCACAATATAAATCGATTGAGACACAATCGTACCTTGGGGCGTATTCACACAAGTCTACTTTGTGAGCCAGGTGTTCAGAAGCGTCCCATCGTGTTTTGTCGCTTATGCTTGTCTCAGGAAGAAAAGAACTTGCAGGCTGGGTAAATGTGCCCCGACATATGTTTCCTCATTCAGAATTTATCGTGATGGCTTCAACCATCCATGGCCTTACCGTACGTTACGTGACCTTGGTCATATAATCACTAAGGCCCACTTTACTTATACCCTCTATATTAGAGCGAGCTTCGTACTTATTTCCTATTTTTAATAGATAACCGTTCTCTTTTACTTACGTCGATGCCCCCCCTATGGTGACTATACGACAGAATTCAAATTGTGCATCCTACTGAATAGAAATGGAGACATGTAGAGATTAGGCTGCTGGAGGATCGACTCCGGCATAAGCGAAATCCACCCGACTAAGCTGACATGATGAGAATTTGAAGTGATAATTATGTTGCTCCTGCATGCTTTTGCTTGGCACAAGCCCTATTAGATGATGCGGCCCAACTGCGCCATATGTTTGATACTATTAGGAAGGTGTTCTCAATCTTGGACTCTTGCCACTGGCTTTATGTGGCCTTCACATAGATCCTGACGGCATATCTGCAAATCCTTCAACGTGAGAAATTAGCATTGCAACACCAAGGCTCCATGAGTTGCATGATAATACGAGGTTTTCTTCGTGTTCAAACACTTAAAGAGGAGGACTGGTCTGAAATGAGATGAATTCGAAATCAAGAAATGCTCATCGGCACAAGCTCACTTCCTGCGCTTCTCACTAGGCATCCCTCAACTACTTCTTTTCCCCAATCAAGCGCAGAAGAAATATTCGACATCATGAAATTATTTACAATTGCTTTGCTTGCCCCTCTTGCTTCAGCAGTTTGTAGCACAAGCCAACTCAGTTTGACGTTTATGGTCAGCAACTTCTATCCGTACGAGTACGAGACTGAGGAATTTTGCCCGGTGGCCGGGAGCTGTGGTAAGTCGAGATCACCCGCCTTCACTGATGGCAGAACTTGCTTCGAATTTTGAGGATTCAGATGACCTCAGATCTTAAATAATCTAACGAAACCTCTAAGTGAACATGGCTAGCGGCGCGGATAGCTGGTCGCAGAAAGCCAACTGGGTACTCATGAAGGCAAACACCTGTGTCCAATTCTATAAGTAGGTTCAACTTCTAAACACGCACTCTAAATGATGCGTCAATCTTCTCCTCTAGGACTCTATCTGACCTATGAGAATTAGGGATTACAACTGCCCGCAAAGTGGCGCGACTTGGGAGCCGCCTTGTCACGACGTGGACTGGGCCGTAGGCGTCCTTTCGGACTGGTCGAATGGCGCGATGAAGTCTTATACGGTATTTCAGAAGTGAACAGTGAAGACACATGTGCACTGTCCGCAAGTTGAAGCGTCAATATCGGCGTCAGAGGCGCTGGGAACTCGGACAGATAGTTGCTTGGCTTTATCAATGCTTGTAATTAGCCAAAGTTCTACTTGAACCTCTGCCATAATCAAGTCTGGATCATCACTCGTATACTATTGAGAAGCCGCGATGAAACCTTCTACTCGATACATGTCGGTTCGAAGTAGCATGAGAACAAGTCAATACAATTGTTGGTGTGACTGCTGAACTAGAACGAACCTCTGAAGGGTCAAAGGTGGACTACCTCGCGTACTGATCATGCGCATAGAAGAGCCACCACAGACCCTGCCTACGAGTTCACATTTGCAACCCTTGCGATCTTCTCCCTGACAGGAGTGTTGTCCAGGAAGACGTCAAAACGCGCAATCTTGCCAGCTTCTTCCCCTTCCGTCACAATTGTGACCAGCCCCGCAGCGGGGATATTGATATCTTCGTTATCAGGGTCGCCCTTGACCCTATACGTGATGTCCACAGCGAGCCAAATTCTGTTGTCCACCTGGTCTGCAAAATTTCAGTGCCACTCGAAAACTTCATAGAGTACAATTATTACCAGCTTGGCGAGTGACATGCTTCATATACGACAGCTGCCCAAACGCCGCGTCCATAATCTGCTTGATGGCTTCCAGACCCTCGGCAACAGGAAAGTTGGTGAACTTGACCTGAGCATTCTTGGAGTAGATCTTGTCAAACTCTGTGGTTTGGAGAGAGTCGTGGATATCGTGGGACTGTCTGCGAAATAAGCGTGGAGTCCTGGGTGATGGCATATTTACTCACGCGTCGAAGCCAAGCCAAGGCCTCGGCTTGAGTGTTTGGAACGGCGACCATTTTGCTCGATATCACACTGAAACGATGAGACGCGGAGATGTGACATGAGGTTAGCGTTTTGAATTTGTCTATAATGTCTCTCTTCTTATGTGTTGTGTTTCTTCTTAGTGCTGACAAATTGCGATTGCGCAAGAGCTTACAAATGTTGCCGAATCCTTCGGGGACTTTTACGTCTACCAAAGCCAAGGCCTTGAGCGTCCAGCGTAGGCTGGCTTGTATATAGATCTCCAATGTCTGCAGAAACCACGTCTCTATGATCGTCATGGACCATTTTACCAAAGGATGCAAGGGAGCATGTTCACGATAAGGGTTGCCGAGAATCCAGAGGAGAGAACGAGACGTTAGTCTGTGCTTGCCTTTAGCGGACCATCTACCAAGACCTCTCCTGGAAACGGGATCTTGGCTAGACCTCGAGCCCAGTCCATAGCGATGATTGGTGCTGCCACTGCATCGCGAGACCACCGCATCTTCTTGACGAGGTTTCCCAATCGCTTCACGGCATGGCGGTTACATGTTATCGTCGTGTGGTTCGTCTTCCACCCATACAAGAAAGACGAGCAATTCGTCTCATTGAGCGTTGGCTCCACCGCTAACACGACCTTTGGAAGTGTCCCTTTGCTGACCTCGTCCGCGACGTGCTCCCTGCGAAAGTCTTCCACGATGCGAATGGGTAGTTGTAGGTCTTTTGGTACTGGATGGCATGACAGCTTCTGGAGCTCTGCAACAAGATTGAGGCGACGCTTCTCTGTCGCCTCATCGCCTTTTCCCTCCATGGGCCACCCACCCTGCCGTAGAACACGCTCCAGGAAAGTCATCTTGTCGTCCTGCTTCCCCCTGCGATCCTCCTGTCCAAGCAGTATTTCTATGCGAGAGACTTCTGACTCTGTAGATGCATCGTATACCATGCGCAGACATGTCTCCGCCGCCTCGCGAGTGCAGACAAGCGTGTGGCCGCGAAGAAGGGGGTAAAGGGACTTGAGTAGCCTAGGACCGTGCTCCGCTTCATCTCCCACGTCTTCCAAGATCTTGGGACGCCACTTTCGCTGTGAGCTATGACTGTGAGAGATGTCTGTCGTCAAGGCCACAAATATGGACGTGTCGATGTTCAAATATGGAGTCAGGGGTGGCACTTTCACAGCATCGCCATGACTAAGAAGATTTGGTATCGCGAATTCGAGAGGTGGAGGCGGGGTCTGGCTCTCTTCGGCGCATTCCAACGCAAGTGAGATGTGGTCGTCACCAAGGCACTCAATCCTTTTCAAACACCTGTCTATGGCAGGGACACTGCCCCGAGAGATATTTGGAAGCACGATTCGTACATGATGCTGGTAACCCCCATGTATCTCGCGAGCGGCAGCCAGCAGCTGTTTTGCACTCTTTAGAACCTCAATCTGGGTTTCTTCGTCGTTGATGACTTCTTCCAGGTCATCGTCCTCATCGTCATCATCATCGGGCTCGTCCCAGGGAAAATCTGCTTCGGCCATCTGTACTAACAGAGCCCGCTCGGTGATGCTGAGTACCCGCACCCACTCATGCCCGTTGTCGACAATAGCACTGACGAATACTGAGGTTTGTTGGCCGCCCAGCTTTGAGTAGGGGACTGCGAACCGAAACCAGGTGATTGAGCAACATTTTTTGATTGCCGACCAGTGGTTCTCGTATGAGGCGAGCTCCCCTTCTATGAGCCTGAAATCTCGAGATAGCGAACCCTCGGCCTCTGAACCCGGTTCATGCGTTTCTTGACATCGTTGAATCAAGGCCTCCGCCCGAGTTCGTTGGCTGACGTTGGCCTGCCAGAATGTGCTGAAACCGGGGATGTAGGCGTGCCAGTGGTTGTTGACCTTGGCGGCTTCGAGTTCAACAGCCAGGCGCATCTGCTCGAGCTCATCGCATATCTTGTTGCAGCGGGCAATGAGATGTTCAGCGGTGTTGATGAGCTCTAAGGATTCTGCAGCCTCCTTGAATGGAGATGAAACCCTTTGATTGCCATTGCCGTCCATCGGTTGAGTCAGAAAGTCGTTATAGAGAGGCTTAATGGAATAGATATGTGGTGTTTGCAATTCAGCTCCTTGTGAGTGCGAGGTGAGGTGCTGTTGGCCTTAATCGATCGAGGTGAGAAAACCGGGGCGGATGAGTCATGACGTGGAGAGGTCCTCCTGATCGATGGGAAAGAATGGGAGTCAATGGCTTGATTTCTTGTGTAAACATGCAAGATAGCTGTCCTAAATTGAATTCCAAAGTCTAAAGAGGTATCAACGCGGTCCTCTCAGGACATAACGAGATGAAGACGGTTGATTGTTGAGCAATTGAGGAGGAAATGTACGACAAGAGAGCCTGGGAAACGGCGCACAATAACTGCTCAGATCCTGAGAGTGGGTCACTGTGAGAACAGGCTGATTACATCAGCCGGTCAGGTAATTATCTCCGACAATTCCCGACGACATTCGTCTGCAATCACCACCTGCAATTACCACCATCACCATCCGGGAGATCTTTGATTTTAGGTATAAGGTTCATCAACATTAAATTTGTCTGATCACTATCCAGAGCCTCCCAACGCCTCGTTACTTGGTATACAGCCGTTATATGCTACGCTTATCCCGCTTCCATGCAAGGTTTCTAAGCAACATTCTCAATCGACCACGACTCGACAACTTCGGCGAGCGTGCTGTCACTACCAACATTTCCAGGGAAGACAACGTACGGCACACCACGATGCCGGCTAGTCTCCTCGTCGCACTTCCACAACGGGACGCCCGGGGCAGCTTGACCCATGATGCGAGCCCGTCTCATCCTCAGACCCTTCGTGGCCGCATCAGATGATGTGATGCCACCCTTTGCAATCAGGTACCGCGGCCGTACGTCAATCTGCTCAACAAGCTGTACCAAGGCCCGGGCGACCTTGGAGCCAATTTGGAGAGAGCTGAGCGCATCGCCCCCCTTGATCAGCTTCCGAGATGTCATGACGAGAACATCCTCGCCAGCTGCAAGCTTGGTTGCGGTCTCGGCTGCTGCGGCAGTTACGACCTTCTCCGCGGCGTCCGCAGATTCGATGAGTCCTTCGACATCGAGTTCGATTACCGCCAACTTGTCGCCTCTCCTCTCTCGGAGCACCTTAAGTTGTGCCGTCGTCTTGGGTACGTAAGAGCCAGCGACGATCAGTCCACCTGGCTGCTTGGTACCGGCCTCGACCGACACCCCAAGGTCTGCCATGGTCAATGGTGGGATCCCTGTGATTCCCAGGCGAGAAGAAACGAAGGCAGCACCAGTGCGGTAGAGATACCGCCTGCCCTCTTTCTCTGCCTCAAGTAAGCCTGCCACGAAGACGTGCATGTCAGACTCGGCGGCAGCATTGACGATGACGACTGTGTTGGAGCCAGGCGCTACTGAAAGGAGCTTCTTGGTGACACCTGCAGGTCCCCCTACGCGAATATCGTCGAGAGTGACGGACAAGAATGAAGATTCGTCGAAGCGGTGGCCGCACTTCTCGAGGACATACTTCCGTAAGTTCGAATTCTTGTACCCAAAGGTGGCGTCTTGGGCGAAGGGTGTTTGGCTCGCAGGTACCAGCACGTCGCCTTCCTTGACGTAGTGTACGTCATTGATCGTGTATCTTCCGCCTTGGTAGAAGAAAGGTGTCACAACCCAGGCATCAAACTTGCCAAGAGCCTCCTCAGCAGCCTCGGGCTCCTCCGGAAGATGTCCACGAAGTGTCGAATCACCTCGAAGGACGATTTCGAATGCTTTGCCTGCCTTCTCAGCCGCCGTCTTGACATTCTTGCAAATTTCGACAATAAGGTGTTTGGCTTCGGCGGAGGGTAATGCGCGAGAGTTGGTCAAGATAAAGAACCCAGTCGGGTTAAGGCTGAACTCGTCGTCCAATGTGGCGGAGTCCCACACGGTCAGGACATCGATGTTATGGCAGGTTTGAGTTCCTGTTGGGTCATCATCCAAGACCACAAGAACCGGCACTTCGCCATTGTCGACCACCTTGCGAGTGGAGCTGATCACATCACCCGCATATTCATTTGGGAGCGCGTTAATCGTCTCTTGTGCCGGCAGGCCCTGCTCCTGGCCTGCTTCAATCTCCGCGTTCTCCGTTTTCGAGCCACTGTTCTCCCCAA